CCTGATGTGGTGATCTGTGATCAGTGACCCTTGATGTTACTATTTGAGTTGTTTTGGGTTCCTTGAACTGTGCCCATATAAGATGGTGAAATTAATCTATCAGTGTTGTGTGTTCTGGCAGTACTGCCGATGACTGTTCCCCCACTTCACTCCCTCTCTTCAGCCGTTCCTATTCCCTGAGATAGAATAACTTTGAAATTAGGACAGTTAATAATCCAACAATGGCCCCTAAGTGTTCAAGTGAAAGTTAGAGTCCCACATCTCTCACTTTAAATCAAAAGTTAGAAACGATTAAGCTTAGTGAAGAAGGTTTATGGAAAGCTGAAATAGGCTGACAGGTAGGCCTCTTGCACCCAACAGCTGGCCAAGTTGTGAATGCAAAGAAAAGTTCTCAAAGAAAGTTAGAAGTGCTACTCCAGTGAGCACATGGATGATAAGACAGTGAAACAGCCTTATTGCTAACAGGAAGAAAGTTCTTTGTGGTCTGGACAGAAAATCAAACCAAATACAACATTCCCTTAAGCCAAAGCCTAATCCAGAGAAAGGTCCTAACTCTCTTCAATTCAGTGAAGTCTGAGAGGTGAGGAAGCTGCAGAAAAGTTTAAAATTAGTAGAGAGGTTGGCTCATGAGGTTTAAGGAAGGAAGTCATTTTTATAACATAAAAGTACAAGGTAAAGCAGCAAGTGCTGGTCAAGAGGCTGCAGCAAGTTATCTAGAAGCTTTAGCTAAAATCAATGATGAAGGTGGCTACACTAAACCACAGATTTTCAATGTAGATGACACAGTCTTATACTGAAAGAAGATGCCATGTAGGACTTTCATAACTAGGAAGGAGAAGCCAATGCCTGACTTCAAAGCTTCTAAAGACAGGCAGACTCTCTTGTTAGGAGCTAATGCAGCTGATAACTTTAAGTTGAAGCCAGTGTTTATTAAACAGTCCATAAATCCCAGGGCCCCTAAGAATTATGCTAAATCTATTCTGTCTGTGCTCTATAAATGACATCATAAAGCCTGGCTGACAGCATATCTGTTTACAGCATGGTTTACTGTGTATTTTAAGCCGACTGTTGAGACCTACTGCTCAGAAAAAGATTCCTTTCAAAATATTCCTGCTTGTTGACAATTCACCTAGTTACACAAGGGCTCTGATGGAGATGGGCAAGGAGGTTAAATGTTTTCATGCCTGCTAATGCAACATCTATTCTGTAGCCCATGCATCAAGAATTGATTTCAACTTTTAAGTCTTATGATTTAGGAAACACGTTCCATAAAACTGTCACTGCCATAGATAATGATTCCTCTGATGCATCTGGGCAAGGTAAACTGCAAACCTTCTGGAAAAAATTTCACCATTCTGGATGTCATTAAGAACATTTGTGATTCATGGGAGGAGCTCAAAATAACAACACTGATGGGAGTTTAGAAGAAGTTGAATCCAAACCTCACGAATGACTTTGAGGGGTTTCTTCAGCGAAAGAAGTAACTGTAACTGCAGATATGAAATGGCAAGAGAACTAGATTTAGAAGTAGAGGCTGAAGATGTGACCGAATTGCTGCAGTTTCGTGGTAAAACTCGAACAGATGAGGAGTTGCTTCCTATGGAGGAGCAAAGAAAGGGGTTTCTTGAGATGGAATTGACTCCTAGTGATGATTCTGTGAACATTGCTGAAATGACAACAATGGATTTAGAATATTACATAATCTTAGCCGATAAAGCTGTGACAGGGTTTAAGAGGATTGATTTCAATTTTTAAAGTTCCACTGTGGGTAAAATGCTATCAAGTGGCACCACATGCCACAAAGAAATCTTTCCTGAAAGGAAGAGTCATTCAGTGCAGCAGACTTCATTGCTGTCTTATTTTAAGGAACTGCCACAGCCACCCCAGGCTTCAGCAACCACTATCGTGATCAGTTGGCAGCCATCACCACTGAAGCAAGACCCTCTACCAGCAAAACCCCTGTGACTTGCTGAAGGCTCAGCTGATATTTAGCATTTTTTAAGCAATAAAGCATTTTTAAAGTAACGTATTCACAATTATTTAGAAATAATGCTATTGTACCCTGAATAGATTACAGAATAGTATAAATACAACTTTTTTATGTACTAGGAAACCAAACACTTCATGTGACTCACTTTATTGCGATATTTGCTTTATTGTTGCAGTCTGGAACTGAACCTTCTGTATCTTCAAGGTATGCCTATGATATGCAAATAAAATATTCTCGTCATCGGGAAATGCTCAGATTTTAAAAGTGACACAGTATATATTTTAGAAAATACAGTATGATTATAATTATGTCTGACTAATTTGATAAGTTTGAGCTAGTTTGGAGTTTGTTGTATAAAATCTCTCTTGAATGTTAGGATACATTTGATAATTTGTTATATATAATTTTCCTCTTATCTACAAAAATATAAAACAAATGGCACATATAAAAATCTTTGAAAGGTGGATTTATTTCTTTATTGTCTGACTGATTTTACTAAAGCTTGTTCCAGAAAAATTTATTTTGCTCTAATGACATTTTTAGATTGTGGATCTGAAAGAGTGATGGCATTAATAGTACATTATACAGTGTAATATAAATTATAATACAATAATCATAAAAAGCTCACACATTTACAATGCCTAATAAAATCCAAATGCTTTCATATACATAAGCTTGATTTTCCCAACAAGCTTTTGTTATTGTGAATAAAGCAACAAATGATCAAAGAGCTAGACAAGTTCAAGGTCACACAAATAGCAAATTTAAAAGCTGCGACCAAAATCTGGGCCTCCTCGCCAGTCCACTGGTGTTTTCATCCCATCATGTTGTAAATTGGATTCCTATGCTGAGTAGAATACAGCAAGTGACATTTTAAGAGTATTATTATTTTACAAGTCAATTTTGTGAGGTACGCATTCACATTTCTCAACATTCTTTGTGGTTTTCATGTACTTACATTCTCACCTATGTATTATGTTAAGGAAATTTCGATAACATTGAAAAAAAAAGTGAGAAGGAAATTTAAAACTTTCTGCCTGCTGTGCTTTTCAAAGTAGTTCAATAGTTCAACTTAAATATGGCTTTCATTTTTAAAAAAAACCCTTGTTATAGAAAGCCATCCCAAAGTTTAAGTTCTTCATCCCATTTTCTAAAATCAAATTTAATCTGTGGGAGAGAAGGAAAAATGGGAATGACAACATACTGATGTTTTAAGGACAAAAATATAAATTTAGAAGTCTTATTTTTGTCCATTTGCAACTCTCCTCCAACTCCATCCCTTTTGCTGGCCAGGGCACCCAAAATCAGGCTAGACTTGCTCCTACAAGATTTGTCTTTAGGCCTGAACTCATCTTTTTCTCCAGTTGTGTGTAATGAATATCCAGGTTTCCAAAAGATCCTGCTAAATCAGCATCTATATTCTTATGTAACATCTGCCCTGGAGAGTGAAGTTGATGGAGTTGAATAACCTAATAAATTCAGACCTCAGGTTTTTTAAAACTGTGTTTATAACATAACCAAAAAATACAGTATATGGGCAACTGGGAATAAGTCCATTAGGATTCTAACTGCAATTCACTACACTCTCACTCTCCATCTGCAGGTTGTGAATGCTTATTACATCCTTAAAAAACAAGTGGCCGGGCTTGGTGGCTCAGCCTGTAATCCCGCGCCTTTGGGAGGCTGAGGTGAGTGGATTGCCTGAGCTCGCAGGTTCGAGACCCACCTGGGCAGGTGAGACCTCATCTCTACAATAAATCAAAAAAATTAGCTGGACGTGGTAGCGCGCACCTGTAGTTCCAGCTACTTGGAAGGCTGAGGCGGAAGGATCGCCGGAGTCCAGCAGGTCGAGGCTGCGGTGGCCAGGAGCGGCCACTGCACTCCAGTCTGGGCGATGTGGTAAGACTCCAACTCAAAAAATAAATAAATAAATAACCACAAGTGTGTGGGTCACTTGTGGAAAAAGTTCTTGGACTTTTTTGATTGGACTTCAGCATCTTTTTGGAAGTTGGTAGAATGGATTCATCACTGTGGTGAAACCATACACACTTTTGAGATTTGATGGCCACAGAATGTATACTTACCATATACACAATGTCTTATTCAAACAGAAGTGCTAGATAAATATTTATTGAGTGAACACATACATTAATGAATGCATGGATATTGCAGAGGAATTGGGGAATTCACATATGGTCAGAAGAACCCAAGTCCTGCTCCAGTGACGGGATCAACCAGTCCAATCTTCCTGCCATGCTCAGTGATGATCTCAAATCATTCAACCATCCTACATTCCTCTTTGGTTTGTAACAAGAACCACCATCTTCTTCAGAGTGGTACAGAAACAAATGAGAAACAGAGGAGCAGGCAGACTGTAGAGCCAAGCCTTCATTTTTAACCTGATTTTCTGGCTTCCAGTGTTTTGGCTTACTAAACAGGAAAAAAATTAATTGCACATAATTTTCAAAACACTTTGCATTTTCACTCATTCCAGATGTAAACAACTCTAGAGGCAAAATCACAAGAGGGCATGTGGTGAGCAGGCCTAGTTACCAAAGGAGGTCACATAAAAATTTAAAAGCACTGAAGAATAAATAGCAGTCCGTGTTGTCCAGGGGGATGAGCTTTGTAATCGAAGTAAAAATTAAAACCAAATTACATACACTCACCAGCACTGCATAATGCATCTGATTCATTTGCATACAATGTAATTATCCTGATAGGTGCTGAGTTCAACACATCCAGCTGGGTTAGTGTATCTCCAGGGAACACAAGATTGGGCTTTTTCCCTGTGTATTGGCTGTGTTCTCTATGACTGTGATTGCAAATAAACAATCAGTCCCAGCACCTTTAGGCTTTGAACATTTGAAATAAAAGCAATACAGATTGTGCATGGGTAGCTTTCAGGTCTTCTCAGGTGAACAAGAAAACAGGCTGATTCTGGGTCAGGACTCCATTTCTAGAACGTTCTATCTAATCTTGTGTTTTAGAAAGCCTCATTTATTTTATGCTATATAAAAAATTCTTCTTCTTTTTCTTCACCCTGGACTTGCAGACGAAAGGGACATTTTGAGATTATTTTCCTTGCTCCAAGTTCCCTTTCTTGGCCAGCAAATGACAAAGGATACACTCTTTCCTTAAGGACTCTGTTATTTTTGGAAGTAGCCAACCCCGAGGAAGAGTCTGGCAAGCAGGATGGTAGCTGGCTGGTGTGCAGATCCCTCGGAAATCTACTCAGCAGAGGTTGTCTGGGTTCAGAATTGATGATAGTGAATCCGGTGTCAACATTTGTCTCTGCCTCAAGCTTCTGAAAGCTGTTTTCCTGGCTGTGGACCTTCATTCTGGTTCCAGGTTCAGGGTAGGGAGAAGGCAGATACAATTGGTCATCCATAGCTGGGCGGCTAGCGTGGGATGACCAGCCAGGGCTTTTCCAGGAAGTGCCACTACAGCTGTCTGACGTAGGGCTTCCACTGGGCCCAGGAAGCTCCAAAGAATGTACCTGGGATCTCCAGCTCTGGCTTCTTCGGCTCCTTGTTTCTAGGGTCCTCTTTGCAGAGACAGAAGTCAGCCTGGAGCCCTGGGGCATCATGTCAGCTCCTGATATGCCATTCCTAACACCAAGTCCTGGATTCAACTGGACCTATGGGACAAAGAAAGGAGGAACAAATGAAACGTATTTTCCATGAACTAAGTGCCAAGACCAGACAATACCTCACTCTGCCTTGCCATGTCAATAGCAGACTTTCAGTAAAGTTCATTGAATTAAACAGAAGTGATAAGTACCATCTAATTATGAGATATACATTCAGCATCAGTTCTAAACATCTCTCTCTCTCTTTCTCTGTCTCTCTCAGATCTCCTAAATTAAGACTTTGGGAATCAAATGACTACACCACATTTCTGGTAGATTGAGTTGTTCAAACAATGCAAATACATTCACAGATATTATTCAGTGACCTCATTTAATGTTGTAAATGATATATTACTAACCACGAAAAAAAAAAATTAAAAAGTCACCAAAACGTGTTCATAGTCAAGATAAGAATTGGAATATGAATTCAAGCTTCCAAAGTTAGTGGTCCTTCTTTCAGATTATGTTAATAATTATATAAATGTTGGGCCAATGTGATACATGTGGGCACTCAGGCAGACTAATAATTTGGCATTTTAAAAAAATCAATATACTTGAGATTCTTGGGGGACTATTTATTTAGAGTAGAGGCCTGGTATTGTATGGAAAGAAAGAGAGAGAGAGAGACAGAGAGAGAGAAAGAGAGAGAGAGAGAGAGAGAGAGAGAGAGAGAGAGAGACAGATTGTTACTGTGAAAGCTCTGGTGTTTTAATCCCTAGTAATTTCACTCTGGTTCCAAACTTACAGGCACCACTCAGCAAAACTCCCACCCTGCAGTGAACTGCATTCTCTTCCCATAGAATGGAGTTCACTGACCATCTTCCAGACTTGGGCTCCTGGGAGCCCTGCAGCCTACCCCATATGCAACACTCTCCCCAAGAAGATTTCTGGAAAAGACACTTTTCTCCATCTTGTTAACAGCCCTTGGAAATTGATTTCCAGGACCTATCCCTACCTGACCCAGCCTTTAATCAAATATCAAAAAGAAGAACCTTAAATGTATATTACTAATTGAAAGAAGCCAATCTGAAAAGGCTACATACTGGATGATTCCAACCATATGCCATTCTGGAAAAGACAAAATTATGGAGACAGCAAAAGGATCAGTGGTTTCTAGGGGATAGAGGAGAAGAAGGGATGAACAGGCAGAGTGCAGAGGAATTTTAGGGTAGTGAAACATTCTGCATGATACTACGATAGTGAAAACATGTCATTATACATATATCCAAATGTTAGAAGTTATAACAGTGAAGGACTCTTGGTGATAACGATGCATCAATGCAGATTCACAAACTGCAATGTGCTACTCTGGTAGGGGGTGTTAATAGAGGGAGAAACTGGGGGTGAAGGCCAGGGAATAATGGAGAACTATCTGTACTTTCTGCTTAATTTTGTTGCAAACCTAAAACTGCTGTAAAAAGTAAAGTCTAGCTGGGCTTGGTGGCTCAGCCTGTAATCCCGCACTTTGGAAGGCTGAGGTGAGTGAATGGCCTGAGCCCGCGGGTTCGAGACCCGCCTGGGCAGGCGAGACCTCATCTCTACAATGAATCAAACAATCAGCTGGGTGTGGTAGCGCCCTCCTGTAGTTCCAGCTACTTGGAGGGCTGAGGCAGAAGGATCGCCGGAGCCCAGCAGGTCGAGGCTGCGGTGGCCAGGAGCGTCCACTGCACTCCAGTCTGAGCGACAGAGTGAGACTCCAACTCAAAAAAAAAAAAGTAAAGTCTATGTTAAGGGAGAAAAAAATATAATAGTATCTATTTATCTCACAAGGCAAGAAGACATCTATCAGGACAGTGAGACAGCAGGTCTAGAAATTAGTACATTACCATATATACACGGTATATGTTTGTATGTATGTTACACATGTATGTTCTCCTCTCAATTTTCTCACTGATAGAAATGGTGAAGTGACTATTACCAAACTGCAAAAACAAAAACAGGGATTTCCACTGATTCCTTTAAAGTTGGCAAATACTTTCTGTGAAGAGCCCTGCAGTAAACATCAGAGGCTTTGCTAGCCATGTGGTCTTTTTCCCAACTACTCAGCTCTGCTACAAAGCAGTCACTGACAATACAGAAATAAATGGCATGGCTGTGTTTCAAGAAAACTCTATTTATGAACACTGAAATTTAAATCTCATATAATTTTCATGTGTCATGATTTTTTTTCCAATCATATAAAAATGGAAAATCTATTTTTAGTTTCCAGGCCATCACTGGCCCACCCCTGCTCTGGTGTGCTCTCTGTCTCTCTCTCTCTCTCTCTCTCTTTCTTTCTCCCTCCTCCCCCAATAATAAGTCTTTCCCAAACAATATCGTACCTAGAAGCCCCAAATATGAACTAGTCTAATTAGAGGCTCCCGGGTTGAAGCACAGAGAGCCGTCCCTGCCTTTGGGACCCCACTTTGCTTTTCTCCTACCCCGCCCACTGTGACTGCTGGTCTCTTCCCAGGTCTCTAGAGCATCTCACAACACAGTTTTAAAACCACTTTCCTAAAATCTCTAAATCCTAAATCCGACCAAACCAGTTCACTGGAGAGCTACACATACCTGAAAGTCGCCTCCCAAATATGCGTGCCCTGAACCACACCTGAGCACAGGGACCCAGCTTCTGCCAGCATCAGAAACCCACTCTAGGGCGGACACTGTTGACAGGATGCCTGCTGCACCACAAGACGTGCCCTTTGTGCAAACCCATGGGGGTAATTTCTACTCCCAAACTTTGCTTCACAGGGAACCACTTGGGATCACTAAAGAACAGTGATGCTGACCGGGCACAGCAGTTCACACCTATAATCCCCAGCACTTTGGGAGGCCGAGGTGAGAGGATTACCTGAGCCCACGACCAGCCTGGGCAACTTGGTGAGACCTCATCTCTGCAATAAATCAAAATATTAGCCTGACATGGTGGCGCATGCCTGTGGTTCCAGCTACTTGAAAGGCTGAGGCAAAAGATCTCCTGAGTTCAATAGGTGGAGGCTGTAGTGGTGGTGAGCATGCCACTGCACTACGGCCTGGGCAACAGTAAGACTCCAACACACAAAAAACACAGAAACAGTGAGGCCTAGTTCCCACTCCTCAACATTCTGACTTCATTGGGTCATTGGGCAATATGGGCATCAGGAACTTTTTAATCTCTTTATGTGCTTCTAGTGTGTAATGAAGTTTGGGACCCAATGCTATGCACCAAGAAAGGTTGGGCCCCAAGTCATTATCTGGTGGCCACTGTGAGTCTGTCCCTTGTCATGCACAGCTGACCCTCTACTCTACATTTCTGGTAACTTCTCTGCCTAAAATGATTTTTTTAAAATTTCTTTTTACATTTCCCTCTGCTCTAATTCTTCCCTTTCTCCCTCCCTCCATCCCTTTCTTCCTTCCTTCTTGCTTTCCTTTCTCCTGACCTCCCTTCCCTATCTTTCCTTTTCATCTATTAGTTTTTAGTAAAATTATCTTATTAAGAATTGGCTGGCATGGCGGCTCACACCTGTAATCCCAGCCCTTTGGGAGGCCAAGGTAGGAGGATCATTTGATGTCAGGAGTTCAAGACCAGCCTGGGTAACATAGTGAGACTTTCTCTCAACAACAAAATTAGCCAAGCATGGTGGCATGTGTTGTCATCCTAGCTATTTGAGAGGCTGAGGTGAAAGGATCACTTAAGCCTAGAAGTTCTAGGCTGCAGTGAGCTATGATCATGCCATTGTACAACAGAGCAAGACCCTGTCTCTAAAAAAAAAAAAAAGTAATTATTCTCCATAAGAATTATAAAATTTAACTGTACAAGTATATAAAATGAAAATTAAAGGCTTCTCTCCCGCCCTAACCTCAAACCACCCCAAATTCTCACTTTCCAATGAAAACTTCTTAGCCTTTCTAACGTAGGATAAAAATATACATATATATACTGTCTCCCAAATGTAAATTGGAGTCTCCCTTCCCCTAGAGAACAAACTCCCTTAACCCTTCAAAGGGTTGAGCTGACATCTTTGCCTCTTGGAGAATCATTTGACATTGGGTTTATCATATCATATCTTTTTTTTTTTTTTTGACCCACTGAAGGCTATTTCTTCTAGAAATAAAAACTGGCATGGTGATTTCCATACTCATAAATGGTTCAGAGTTGAAATTAGGCTACTCAGTTTATAGAAAGAGATCCTTAAGTTTGACTGTGGGTCTCCAATTTCATTTTCTAGCAAACATGAACAGAGAGAAGCCTGTGTACGTTTCCCCTTGCCACCTAAATCATTCTCAGATCAGAATGACCAGTTCTGAAACCACAACCAGTGCCAAGACATCTCAATGCAACCAGGAAGCACCCTCCTGAGCTGAGCAAGCCAGGCCCCCCTTCATTTCCCTCTGTCACCTAGTCCCAGAACCTCTCCACTGGACCTCTCTGCCTTCAAAGACTTCATTTCTGAGAGACTCCATTTAAACCTGGCACTCTCAGGCCTCTGCACCAGCATTCAACTCCCCATCACATCTGCTCTTCAACATCAATACCTCCATTCCCTGCTTTCTCCCTCTCAGACCTGCCTGTCCTCCTTGCCTTCCATAGCTAATTGGAGTCCAAAGACTATCACTTCAACCATTTCCTCACCAATACCTCCAACTCCCCTCGCTGTTACCATTCTGTCAGAGCCTTCCTCAGAATCTCCCAACCCTGGCTCCAACCTTCCTCTTCACGTTTTCAGAACTTGTGCCTGGGATGCCACAGAAAAGCACACTGCTGTGAAGATCAGAGCCCTCAGGATGGCATGGTTTCCAACCTCTCCCAGCTTTATGCCAGTCCTCTTGTTTCCTTAGTGGCCGCTCTCCATTCACCATAGTAGCTGTTTCAAACCTTCTGAGTTGCCCTGAAACCTTCAGTGACACAGTGTCCTCCTCCCCATCATCAGATGGCCTCACCAACTAGACTACCAAGAAAGCAAATGCTGTCATTAGTTAGCAATGCTCTTCATTTCCTACTGCAAAACTTACCTGCGACTTCATCACTCCACATGAAAGTGACCCCATCTGCAGTGCCACGAATCTCGCTACCTCCTGTCTTCTTGGTGATTCCAACCTACCAATTATTCATTTTTTCCCATTTTCTTATCTTATGTTCAATCTCTTTCTCTCCTCCCCTCCACCTCTCTCTCTCTGTCTCTCTCTATCTCTATCTCCATCTCTCTACCTATCTCTATCTCTCTGTCTTTGTCTCTCTCTCTCCCTCCTCCTTTCCAACAGCAATTAAACTTGCTAGTCAGCTATCTTGAAAAACACATTCCTTCCACCCTCTCTTCCCTTTCATGTTTCTCTCTCCTCCCCTTCATGGTCAAACCTCTTTATATAATCTGTGTACAGTCATTTTTCCTACTAACCTCCCCTTACTTCCTCTACCCACGTCATTGACTTTCCCTCCTACTACTCCACTGAAATTGCTCTTGCCATGATCATCTTCAGTCAGCCCCCTTGTCACTAGTATTTCTTGAGCTCTTGGTATAATTTTACCTTGAAGACTTTACCCTTCACCCTTGAAGTCTTCTTCTTAAGTTTCTATGCCATGGCATTTTTCTGAGTTTTCTCCTTTCAAGGAGCCTCCTCTCCTGTTGGTTCATTTAGTGTCATAGTACTTCACATCTGGCCTGGATCCTCTTTTGCTCTCACTCTCTCTGTTCTGCTTACTCTTCTTCCAGTCTTAGAAGATGGCCCCATCAGTCCCCATATCACCTAAGCAAGAGCATCATCTGTCCTTCTCTATGTCCCATGTGTAAACAGCGACCCTTTTCCATGAAAACTTCCTCTCAGATCTTCCTTTCTCTCTGTTCCTGCTGCCATTTACTCTAGAGCAGGTCATCATCATCACCTCTCTTCTGAATGACTGCAACAGTCATCTAATGGGACTCCTCATGGAGGCTCTCACCTCCCACTAATCTGTTCTCCACTCCTCTACCAAAGAAGCTTTGCAAACAGATTTCGTCATGTCACCAGCCTGCTTCAAAGAGGTCCTACACTTCTTAAGGTAAAATCTATGCCCTTTGATGTGGTCTACCTCGCCCTTCATGGTCTTCTCTTCTAATAATTCACCACTTTCTCTCTTTCAGTCTCCATTTGCCAAACTTGAACATGATTTACTCTTCCCTTCAGTCTCCATATGCCAAACTTGAACATGATTTACTTTTTCCTAATGCCAGTGTTTGTACATATTATTCCTTCTATCAGGGATGGGTCTCCTCTAACACTTTTTCCTGAAACTCTTGCTCATTGTCACCCCAAGCTTATATATCATTTCCTCTTGAAAGAAAGGCTTCTCAATAGCACCAAATAGGAATTAGGTACCTCTAAATATTGACTCTGCCGCTTATTAGGTAGAGGATGTCAGACAAGTTATATCATAGTTCTGTGCCTTGTTTTCTTTATACGCAAGAAGATAATAACAAGTACCAACATCATGGGGTTGCTGTGAAGATTAAATGATAACATTTGGTTATTATCATCATCATTAATATTATTACTAGCTCTCAGAGCAGTCTGAACTTACTCCTGTTTCTTCCCCTAGACTTTGCCGTCTGGAACAGCAAGAATTATATACACCTTCTTGGTCATGTAAGTAAGTAATCACTACATATCTGTTAAATAAGTAAAGCTTAATATTTAAAATATAAATTTTTGCAAGTAGAAATGAATGGAAGTATAGTACCTATAAATTAGGTAGGCTTCTGATTATTTTACATTAGGCAGGCATAAAGTCTTTAAAAATTCAAAATATCTTTTATTATTGTGGCCAGACATTTCTGCAATCTTCTTAAGGAAGGGAATGTCAACTTAAAAAAAAAAAAAAAAAAAAACAACCAAAACTAAGACCCTTAGACAGATGGCAAAAGTGAGAGCAACATTATTAACATAGAAATACAGATGTGTGCAGTTGAAATGAAGAATTTCCAGGAAAAACATAATGCTGAGTGATTGAGATGAACCCCTTGAGGGATGATAAAACTCTTGCCAAAAAAAATTTGAAATGCATTTGCAGGAATTCTGGCTATTTGGAGCCCATCTTTCTATGAAATATTTTTTAAATGTTATAAACCGAGGTTTCCAAGGTTCAAGGAACATTAGCAACTATCATGGTTAACAAGAAGATTACCACTCATTTATGACTCTAAACTCTTGAAAAACAAGAGAAAACACAACACTGAAAAATAATTAAGTAGTTACGGTGCAGACCTACATCAGGAAAGGAAAATAATATTGTTTCTTACTAAATGCAATTCCAAGAGGAGCAAAAAAGAATTTCTCCAGCACTGGAAAAAAATGACTGCCTGGAAACAAATTATGTAAATGATAAGTAACCCCAAAACGGTGCTAGACTCGCTTAAGAGTTGAACACCAGTGATTTCAAATTAACTGATCTCTTGAAAAGTACTTATTTTAATCGATAAAACCACTCATGTCAACCTGCTATTCTGTAACAGCAGAAACTTCCTGAGCGATGTCTCTTTCACAATATAAGCCAAATATTGTAAGACAGTGTAGAAACAGCAGTTTCTTTCTCTTTCTCTTTCTTTTCTTCCCTCTGTCTCTCTCATGCATGTGTGCATGCATGTGTGTGTGGGGGTGGGCTGTGTGGGGTATATTGGGAGTAGAAAGACAGAATAGAAAAGATGTGAGGAGGAGAGGAACAAAGAGGAAGTCAAGAATCCAACAGAGTACAGCTGAGGGATTCAGAAATGATAAAAAGAAGCCTTCAAGAAATGCTAGAAAATAGGAAAATAATTTACTTACTTCTGGAGAGACTGTCCTTTTATTTCAAATGATTAATAAAGAACATAAAGATGAATGAATGCAGTTAAATATCTGTTGATGAAATGAAACACAAGCTTGCTTATGCCACATTGACTTCTGGAGTATATACCTTCTTTAAAGAAACAAACTTATTTCCTGAAAACAAGTAGTCAATCAGTCAACAAATATTTCAGAAGTCTAATACTCCACTGGAAATAAATATTTACAATAAAATTCTGAAAGACAGGAAGCATAAAATCCCACATTGTATGATACAAGAATGGGAAAATACATAATCAGTTATGTGTTACCAAGATTTAAGAGTAAAACATTCTGGTTAGGAATGAGGATCAACGTGGCCTTGAGTTTCACAGGAGGTTCAAAGAGGAAGTGCAAATGATCAGACTCTTAAAGTTGGATAATTGGAGAAATAAGACATTCTTGGATAAGGAGTACACAGATAATACATGGATATAGATACACATTATTCAGCAATAAAAGAGATGAAGTTCTAATAAGTGCTACCATATGGATGAACCTTGAAAACATCATGTTAAGTGAAATAAGCCCAACACAAACAGACAAATGTTGTATGATTCCTCTTACATGAGGTTTCTAGAGTAGGCAAATTCATAGAGATGGAAAGCAAAATAGAGGTTACCAGGAGAATAGAAGGCTGCAGAGAGAGAAGAATGGTGAGTTTGGTTTAATGGGTGCAGAGTTTCTGTCTGGAATGATGAAAAGTTCTGGAAATGGAGAGTAGTAGGGTTGTACAACACTAACACTGGGAGTATGCTTAATGTCACTGAATTACACATTTTAAAAATGGTTAAGATGCGACTTCCGGCAAGATGGCGACGGGGCAACCCAGTCTGTGAAAACCTCTCGCCCTGGGGGCTACGGACCCCAACATCGCAGCCTGCTCTTCCTACGGACCTCGGCCGTTGCCACCGCTGGGGCATTGCAGCGGTCTGGACAGCCACTGCAGCGCAGACACCGCGGCCACAGCCGCCGTAGCCACCGCCACCGCTGCCGGTAGCACATTGCACCACCCGGGCCGGAGGCAATCCACAACTTCAGTCCTTGAAGCCCCTTCAGGGAAGATCTGCTGGGATCGCTGCCACCTCTCCTGCGACCGAGACGTCCTGCCCGCCGTAAGTCTCCTGCCGTCTGCACTGAGGCAGGCAGCCATCTTGCCATCTTCAGCCTCTGATGTCCCTGTCCGGCCCCACCCCCTCTGGGGCGAGCAGCTGAGATAGCACCACCTGCTGGCAATTCAAGGCAACAACACCGAAATGGGAGAAACAAGCTTGATAAAGACATAGGCCAGAGTGGTGAACCGAGGGTGATCTGAACTGTCCTTCACAGCAGACCAGGGGCAACTGACCCTAACTGCAAACTAATTTACCAGCTTGAAAAGAAAACTAGAAATCAGACCTGAAAGGACATTGGACTTAAACGAAATGTCTCAGAGTGTGCTTCAATGATTCTGTTAGTTTAATGACTTAATTCTATTCCTACTGTATTGTTCCTTTTTTTCTTTTTTCCTCTTCCTTTTCTTCTCTTTTTTTCTCTCTGTAAACCATATCTTTGTATAGAGGAACAGCACACTAATAAGGTGGTTGGATAGCTGCTATGTTAGCATCACTATATGTTTTATTTTGTCTGTATGAAAGTTGGTTC